GCCTCTGGACGGCCCTGGATGGCTTTCTCCTCCTTTTCTGTGGTTATTCCCGACTCAGTGTCCCTCTTCCCAGGCTCGTCCCGCTGCATGGAGTATGGAACTCAGTGGAAATCAGGCATGGAAGAAGTTTCTGTGCAACAGAATGGATAACAGAAAATAACAACTGCAGTGCATTTAATAACTTGGTTTGGTTTTTCTAGCTTCGACTTTGTAACTCCCCTGGCTTACTTTGTGGCACCATGAAATAAGGTGTGTAGAACTCTGATATTGAGTTCTGCTTCAAAGGCCTTGTTATGGCTGATGATTGCATTTCCAACCTTCCATTGTCCATGCTCCATGAAGCCACTCTCATCTGTGAAACAAGTTAGATGTAATTCACACACTGGCAGATCAGAGAGATCTGGCTTGTGCACATACACCAGGTTTAGGGCCCTGACACAATGGTGATGAATGGTGTCTGCTTAGGGAAAGTGGGCAACAGGGTAGTGAGGTTTAAGGTAGTTGCTTGCTGGATCTGCACACTTGGCTTGTCTAGGACTTGTCTTTGGTCTAAGGGTATGAGCACGCAATGAGCAGAGTCAACAGGGATGGTCTGCCCAAAGGTCAGCTTGTCAACAGTTATCAGCATCTTCGCTACTGCTGCTGTCACGTCCCAGCAGGCAGGCCAGCCCTGTGTCACTGGGTCTGAAGTTAGGGAAAGGATGTCACCGGTGTTCTCCAGAATGCAGGAACTGGGTAGGAACATTGCTAAGACTGGGCCGCCAGGAAGGTCTGCTTTAGTTTTTCAAAGGGCTGTTGCTCTAATTTTCCCCATAAAAAGGGGTCCATCTCTTTATTCTTCTAGGAGGAAGTACAAGGGTTTAGTTACAAATCCAAAGTAGGTATTCAAATCCAACAAATCCTGCCATATCTGGGAATCCTTCAAGCACTTTGCATGTCTGTGGTTGGGCTAGCTGGCAAATGCCTTGCTTTCTCTCCAGTTGCACTTTCCTTTCTCCTTTGCTGATGGCAAACCTCAGATATCTCACTGTCTTTTGGACTTTCTGGACTTCATTCTTAAGGACTCGGTAGCACTTCACTCGGTGTTCACTGCCCACCCCCATGCTTCCTCCAGGTCCCTGAATTGTCTTCCTGCTGCCAGGAGCACTCTGCCTCATGAACATCTGGGCTTTCAGCATCTGATCTTATCTACTGTCTGAAGGCGTTGAGAACTCTGCACAGAAATGTAGAGGGAGGCTTACCCCTCCTTTGCTGATCTTACACACCTTATTCAGACTCCCAAGTTTGGAGCTCCATCCCTAATTCCTATTAATATACAGTCTCTGTGATTGAAAGTCTTGCATAATTTTCTGTGTCATTTAGGAACCAGTAAGAGGACCTAGTGGCATATTATTGTCCAAAGTACCCACACCTGCCCGGGTTGGGCATCTGTGCCCCTCTGTGCTACTGCGTGGCCCCAGCTCAGCACCAATACCATCCCTCCAGAGTTAACAGAGTAGTCAGAAGTGACTGACAATCAGCTCACACTGGGCCAAGAAGCTAAAAGTCAGCACTTCATACATTTTGCCTGCGTTAGTCCAGTTCCCTGAGGTATAACTCTTCCAATTTCATAATTCCGTGTTGTAATAGTCACGTGCACCCTAACCCTCTCTCCCCCTGAGGGGATCTGGCAAAGTGGGTGTTGGCCCCTAGCCACATCCGTATGGCCTGTTCCAGTGTCTGGCCCTTTCTGGATCAAATCAGGTCTCTGACAAGGCTCCCCTCCTGGGTGGGAAAAGGGAAATTAGGGAGCCTCCTGCCCGTTCACCTCTTCCCCAGGGCTCCCACTTAAAAATAGAGTCTGGTTCTGGTGGATGCAGAGGAGGGGTTGTTTAAGGGACCTGAGGGATCATAAGGATCCGCTCCTCTTGTTAATACTGGGGAAGGGGCTCAAGGCTG